AAAGGCATTTACGCTCCCCTGTCATACGATTGAAATATTCAGTTAACGGTAACCAAACATTTTGAACGGGTTGATTATTCAACGAGTATGTTTTCAAGAAAACCCGCTCAACAACGTCATAAAGAATACTCCAAATTCAACCACACACATCCTTACATGATGCACACGTACTGACTGACAAGTAAACAATTCAGTTGATAAATTATGACAACTGGGCTTGCATAGCTATGTACATCGGTTCTTCTTGGTACTATTCAGATTTAATTTATCATCTCTCGTCCTATGACAATAACTTAGATAACTTTGATCAATGTTGGCGATTTTTTTCAAATTAAAGGGCGGTGGTCGTCGCGCTGCATATGTGCGAAATTTGTGTTGATAAACATTGATTTTCTCATAATACAATAAGCTCTTCTAATAGGCGCAACTTGCATTAATTACCGCCGGTGAGTATTTCGATACCTTCCAATCACCTAAAAATACCTAATTAAAGCTTGGTTACGTTTCAGTTTGTACTCGTCCGTTATATCTCACGCATGCGTGTCACGAAAACTACCGCCCTTTAATCTAAACTTTACAGCAGCCTCCGGCACTCTGCTTTTCTTTCTGCTGTGCAAGTGAATTTTACCATAATTCAAGTTAACCACTGATAGTTTTATTACTTCAACTACTTGTATGTTTGTAGAGTTATGAATCCAGGCCCATTCGATGACCGTATTGGTTTAATTGTCAGAAGGCGGCCCTTTACTCCAAGTATGTTCTTGACAACACCAGATGAAAATATGAATCCATTTATGGGAATGCTTTATTGTGGATTGTGAATAACACTATTAAACGAACTCTCCAATTGCCACTGCCAAAATTGAACGAATTTCATGCCTATCAGCTCGAATACTTTGCAGACAAAGGGTGGACCTCCCTCTGCCAAATTCTAAATGACCTTCACTAACTTTCCAACACAATTCTGCCCTATGATGAAGTTGGTAGTTGAATTATGTCACTTCAATGGAACACACTTGTTTAAAGATCTGTGATGGATAACAGATGTCAATGTTGATGCATCTATGCATCCATTTACCATAGACATTAAACATTACACGTATCAGCCAATTGATTGGCCTGCAGCAGATTTTCTCCATATTAATCACCAAGAAGTGTTATCTGTTATTCTAGCTGTTAGAAGATGGGTTCATACTTGGCGAAACACCACTACTGGCAAACACCAACAAAGGAACACCTCATAGCACATTGGTAATGACTGCTATGTGAGAACTTTTCTCGTTGTCTGTCTGCTACAACTTCCATATTAAAGACATTTATGTACATGGGAAGGAAAACCTCAACCTCATACTTATGTTACTTCACAAGTCTAATGTTCTTTCACATTCTGTTAAGCAATTTGACTCAGCTCATCGCCTCATATAAAATGTTTATTTGGATTTTCCTTTTGGCATTGCTATTATATAGTCAACAACAATTTAAGTTAAAGACCGACAATTTGTTTTCTCCAGGAGGCCACTCTCTGTGTTCGATGGTTTCTGCTGGTTTGCTAACCGTCTGACAAATTTCCTCAGTCCAATCTTATAATATTTATACTCACATCACCTAGTCCCACTCCTATAACCTTTGGTTCATTGATCAATACTCAAACCACCAGTTCATAGTTAGATGTAGTACAGATTAAAGTTCGCCTACTGAACCCAAAACACTTGTTTCAATATGTATGTTTTCTTTCCTTATTCCCTACAAATAGCGCCCTCACCAGTTGTTCCTGGATCGAATGTGAAGAGACAACAGATCAGCTCTTCTTTTCTTTCTTTTTTTATTTAAACAATATTTTTATTTCGTTTCAATAATCTAGACATAAAACACAAACTATTACAATACAAAGTGGTATAAGGAAGAACAATTAAAATTAAGAGAAAGAAAATAAGGAGAAAAGAAAAGAAAAGAAAATGATCTGGTATAACATCTAAATTTACCCATTATCTAGCTAATTATTAATGGTTCCCATTTCCATGGATGAGCTCTTTGTTTTTGTTTATTGCGATTTGTAGTTCAATATTTCTATTTTCTCTGATCCAACTTTTATATGTGTACTTTGTTGGATGAACCCTACATGTATATATATATTTTTAAATAATAAAATAAAATGATTTAATATTATATTTTCCTGTTCACATAGACCTAATAATATGTTTGACATTACAAACAAAATTGGCAATAAGTGTGCAATCACTTTGCAACAGTCTCTACAGTCTCTTTACATCAATACAGTTAACAAATAGGTGTTCTAATGTTTCTTCTTGTTCACAAAAAGAACAGTGGGCGGAATTGATTATTTTCCATTTATACAGTTTTGTATTGAAATGCTTTAAAATCTGTGGAGATTGTTGTCGTGAAAGGTAGTTTGAAAATTACATTTTGTTTCATCCCATACAAATGTTGGAATTCTATGGCAATATTTAGCTCTTCAATAATGTTTTCACACAAAGATTTATACACCTTTTTTGCTCGTCAGTGTATTAATTGCAACAAATAATCACGCCACTCATGGGTATTAGCATGAATGTTCTCTCCCCAGTCATCTGGTATTGCAGAGATTAGGCCTTGTATAGTATGGTATTCTGTCAAAGTGATACCTTTTCCCTTCCAATATTGCCAGTCATGAAAGTTTATCGATTAGGTCTATTATTCTTAATACTATTTTTCTTGCCAAACTTTCCAGATAGACTGTACGAAAGTCAATTTTTAAAAATCTATTGTTTCATAATATTTGTTTATCAATTTCAGATGTTGTTTTTGAAGTGTATAATGTCAGAGATGACCATTCCCGGATAGTATCATAATAAAAGGGTGGGATTTGATTTTCAAATTCTGATTCATCATAGATGCAAAAAAACACATGGTCCCCAAACATTTTCAATAGTACCTTCAATATATCCTTCCATCCGGCTTGACTATCAGAAACAAACCGTTTCACCCACATAATCTGTTGTGCTTTGAAAAAGAGTCCACCTCAATCATATTTAACCCCTTTCAATATCTGAAATAAGGATGTTTCTTTTAATTTTATTCTTTCCAATTCAAATAAAATTTTAAATAATACTATTGATTTTTTTATAATTGATTTTGGCACTGAAATCATTGATGCTGAATATATATGAATTGGGAAAGGCCAAACGTTTTTAAGGATCTGTATTTTACCAATTATTGAGAGTTTTCTTCTAGTCCATAATGAGTATACTGACTTCAGACTGTTAATTTTCTTCAATAGACATGTCAGATGCATATGTAAAAAAAACTTCCAAAATTGTTATTCCATTCGACCATTTAATATTTATTTTCTCTTTTGGTCTGTGACCATACCCCAACAAAAGTGCCTCAGTTTTATCCTGATTTAGATTTAATCTTGAACATTTTCCAAATTTAATAAACTGTATTGAAGAGCGGTATCATTGAGGTGGGCTTAATTGTACAGGTTATGTCGTCTGCATACATTACTAACTTAATAATTTTTTAAAGGTACCAATACCATTTATAGTTGGATTATTTCGAATACTGATTGCAAGTAATTCCACTACTGTTATAAACACACACCTTGGGAAAATAACCAGTTGACCTTCCATGATTCATCACACAGGAAGAGATGCTACTGTGAAGCGTTTTTACCCAATTTATAAAGGAGTTACCAAAATTAAATAGCTCCAATGTTTTTATCAGAAATTTGTGATAAACTTAATCAAAAGTATTTTTGAAGTCCAGTGATATTGACACGCCATGCGTATTTTGATGTCTAGTTAGCCACATTACATCAAAAAGTGTGTGAATTGCATCACCTATAATAAGTCTGTCCTTCACAAACGCACATTGGTCTGGGTGAATGATAG